TCTCCCATTCTGCATAGCTTCCCCTGAAAACCTAAGTAAGTCAGCTAGAAAAACATCCTTGTGGATCTAGCCATTAGGCTTTTTGGTGAGCAGCCAGTTTTGATGATTTAAAAGTTGAATACAGATACCAGCAGTGACAGCTGAATAAGTCATCTAGACTGTATGCAGCACTTGCCATTAGTCCTTCAGTATTCTAGTTCTCTATTTCCAGTGTTGGGGTGACAGTACCACACCAAACCTAAGGGATGGTGCAAGGACTGGGAGATACTTTTATCCTGTGTGTTAATGAAGTGAAACGTGAGACACATGCAAAACCTGAGTCTTCAACATGCACAGGTTGCAGGAGTCAGTTCTTTGTCTGCTTATTTCTGAACTTATGAAATACCAGTATCACTTCTCTGCTGAAATCTGAGACTTTCCTGAAATTCATCAAAACCATAAATATCTAAAGAATCTGAACGCAAATATTTTCAAAATATAAATGTGGCTTTTAAAAATTCCTTAATCATTCAAGCATCATACTTCCATTGTATTTCAGTGCCAACTCTTTTACAGTTAATAAACACAATTTATTTCTTGGGCAATTAAAATATTTCCAAGGGAACTCACTATTGCAGTAATACAAGTTGTACAAATTGAACCTACAAAATAACATCAAAGTTGCCTTAAAGCTTCCAAAAATTCTCCTAAAAAATGACATCTCTAACATGCAGGACATACCACGTGCATAGATAATACAAATATTTTCAGAAGCATGAAAAGATGATATAAACAGATCTGATATTAATGAATTCTCCCTGTTTTTAAGCGTTAGGTGGTCAGGGATAATTAAGAGCAAATAATCCAAGTTTCAGCCACAGGTGGCTACTATGAGAGAGATGCTAAGTGCTTGTTATTTTATAGACATAGATCCTTTTTTAGGGGAAAGCTATGATATCGTCTTAGCTTACATATTTACAATTAGTCTCTTTTACTTATGGAACAGATTTGCTTGTGGAACAGTTATAAAACATACACAGTTAAAAAAAAAAAAAAGCAGCTCCTAGGGGGATCCTCCATCTGCTGAAGTAAAAAAAAACCAAACAAAACATTATGCGCCTTTGCCCTTGCATTAGTGGTGATGAAATTGTATGACATATGTTAGATTAGATTTCAGAGTGGACAGCTTGATGATTCTTTATAAAAAGGCAAACTGAGATTTAAGCTTGTAAATAGTGACAGCAGTAGAGGATTTTGCAACTATAAGAAGAGCCTACTTCTCTAAAGATTGCAGAGTTTGCTCAGCAGCTGGGCTGGAGTTCCAGGTTGGAAACAACCCACTGTTGTAGAATAAAGTTATTTTCATTCCAATACAGACTGCCCACATGGGGGTGTACGGTTACTCTGCAGTGGTTCTGCTGGTCAATTTTCCTTGTGCATTTGCAAGTTTTATATAAACTTTCTGTTTTTCCAACAACTGTACTTTGTTATGTGAATGATATAAAATATGGTTTAGATTTTATGCAAGGGAAATAAACATACATGATGCTGTTCCTGGTAGTAATGTTGCTCTGGCTAAATGGGGTCAGAACTTGTTGAGAAAAAAGACTGTAGAATTGGCATAGAGTTTTGTTTCCCACTGGATACATGTTTACTTGTTATGCACATAGAAGTCTATCTGCTCTGGGAGATCTTACTCTATTGTACCAAAGTGCTACCATGGCTCCACAGCAGGAACATGACTGTCTGTTAAAGCCATATCTGACCCCTGTTGCTCCCTCTCTAGCAAACAGGCATTCTGCCTCTGCAGAAATCAAAGCACTAGGTCAGTCAGTAGGTTACTGGCATGCTGGAAACCCGTCAACATCAAGTTCGAAGCCTTCTTCAGGCTTTTGTACCAAAGGCTAATTGCCTTCTCCACCCTGGGCTTTATCTACAGCCAAGAGAGACAGCTTTTGGTTTCTCACCTCCCATACCAATGTGTCCAGTCACCTCTGCAACCCAGAAGCACTACTCAGGCATTACTTCTAAGCATCTGCTTCTGCTTATTTCAAAAACCCCTATGAGAACTAATTTGAAAGTGGGCTGTAAACATTAATTTTCTTTGTACTCTAGGCACTTCTGAAAGTCTAAGTTAATACTTCACATAATGCTTTCCTCTTGTTTACTCAAGCAGATTTTACTCTGCTGCAGCAGAGCAATGAATATCACAACAGGAGATAAAAGTCTAGGCTGATTTACAAGGCTGGTGGTTGAACAGAGTGACATGCAGAAAAAGCTGGAGCACTGTGATGAAAGAACTCACAGCTTTCCATCCTTTATGATTTTTAACCAGGACAGTTAGGTTTTCTCGTTGAGCAAGTGCTTCTTCATCACATGCAAAAAGAACATTTTAACACACTGAATTTATGTCTGAGGGGAGAAAAACTGCAAAGTGGTATTGAAGTAAAGGATTCTGAGTACTCTCCTGTGATCCAGACATCTCCAGTGAGAATGGAATAAGCTTTTTTTACATCTTCCTAAAATGAATATACATGCTGAGGAACAGCAAGGTAGAAGAAGAATGGCACTTTACCAGAAGGCAGGTGAGAGTATCTAGAACTAGTAGGGAGCAGAAAATTATCAAAGCTGAGACTGGAATGAGTCCTGATCACAATGATCCTGCAATGTAATGTACCCTAACTAAATGCTCAGTCATCACATTTTGGAAAGCAAGTTGCCTCTTTTCACAAAATATGTATCCACTTACTATTTCAGATTTACTTCTCTGTAGAACTGAATTAATTGAAATAAACTGCTCATTTCAGAAGCAGAAGAGTGCAAGAAAGGCAATGGGGCCTGAGGCTGGCACCATCATCAGAGCCATGCTTCTGGAGGAAGTAACAAGTTGAAAAAATGAGGTGTGTAATCTAGCATTAAGTATAAAATTAAGATGTTCAGGGGATTGGACTATAGCCCCAGAGGTTCCCAAGACCTAGCTGAACGAAATCAGGAACAAACTGGTCTGATCTCACAGCTGGCCCTGCTTTCAGTAAGAGGTTAGACTGGATGACTTCTAGTGGATCCTTCCATTCTGACCTGCTTTATGATTGTATACACAGTCCTCTATTTGCTTAAACCTGGCTGAATAGCATTCACCTTTGCAAATGCAGATTGGAGTGTGTGACTATTCTTAAACTACTGAAATTCCCACATAGGGGCATAATCTTAGTTTGCACTTCCCTTGCTTACCTTTTTTTAGGTAATTGACTCCAGTTCCTGCTTTTGCTGCTAGTTAAACAATGTCCAAACACAGTCTGCGTGAAATGACAATCTCACTACTGTTAGTAATAGTAATAAAACCGTTCAGCCTATCTGCTGCTGCTGCATATCAAAGGCACAACCATGCTGCTGTGTGGAGCCAGCTGTTTTTGGGAAACAGTGCAGGACTGCCACACAGTAGGTTCATCTTTGATTGCAGTGTGATCTTCACAGGCAAGATGGAAAGCAAGATTATTTTAATACAAATTTATTTTAATACAAAAATGCATTGAGACCATATATTTTTCAGCAGTAAATTCCCAGATGTGAAGGGGCATCCAGAAAATCATGCAAATATGTGGAAGGGAATACAGTGCGACTACATGGTGCTATTGCTTCCTGCTAAAGGTGAAGGATAAAACTGTTTTAGTTCTCCACAATGAGTGAAATAGATTTTCCAGAAATTCCAGAACTCAAGAAACTCAGTAATCAAGAAACTACAGAAAATCACAAAGGATCTCAAGGTTTGCCTGTTCTTCATAAGATGATCTTTACCATATTTTTTTTATATTTTAATATTTTTTCATATAATTGAGTTTATAAAAAAAGAAATGAGAACACTGGCCACAAAGCAACAGACCTTGATTAAATCAAAGCCAATAGAAACTCAGTGCTACAACGTTTATTAATGGGAGAATCAAGCAATGCTTGAAAGCAAGAAATTGGATAAAGCAAGGAAGTTCATGCTTGCCTGGGACAGTTTTCTACAAGTACCCTTAGTCTTGGAGAAATTTGCCATGTTTACTATGACTTGATTTCATGTATCTTTAATTCCACTAAAACAAGTTTTTTTGAAAGACAAACTAAGAACAGAGTGACTTTGCAAATTACTTACTAAAGGAGTTGAAGCTTAAGAAAACATAATAAAAGTGACCCCAGGTTCCTAATTCCATACAAACTTCATTTACCAGTTATTCAATACGGTTTCAAATTATTCTATTTTAGAACGTTAATAGCCTTTTCTCCTTTATTATGAATCCATTTCATACATAACATTTCTGAACCTAATCAGTAGGGTTGAAAAACGTGACGACAGTAAATACCCATTATGATACTGCATTTTGTGTCAGAGAACTGGTATTAAATAAGTTCTTGCTTTGAAGGTTAATAAAGACCATTGAGTGAAGAACTTTTTGGAAAAGCTATAGCTGCAGAGTTCACATTTTGCTGTCCTGTGCTCCAGCTGCTTAGAATCTAAATCGTTCCTGCTACTGACTTGGATGTCCTCATCAATGTGGCAGCAAGAGGGTGAGGAGACTCAGTGTACCCAGTAACTATAATGAGAGATTAAAAAAGAAAATACTTGACTCTTTGGGTGTTTCGGTCTCTCTACTTTTAAGAGAACAAGTAGGTCTTTTTAGTTACATTACCACTGCACATCTCCATGTGGTTAAATTATTATATATTATTATAGTGAGAAAATACGAATTTTGTTATAATTTCTACTTCTTGTTCTTCTCCAAAAAGATTATAAAGTGGGATTGAAGATGTAGGAGAAAGGGCTTAACTCTAAGCTCTTTGACTATTCTTGCCTAATTACTTTGCTGAAGTGAAATGAGACGATTATGTTGTTACTGATTGCAATACAAATTCGTGTGAATGCGTATACTTAAGACCAAAATATAACAACCCTTTGCACTGAATAGCCTATAGGCAATGTTTTTGGATGTCTTTGAGCACAGCTGCACACCCATGCAAAAAAGAAAAATCCTTTTCTTTACCTTTGGAGTTTGCTGCACCAGCTGCAGTTGAAACCAATCTGGGCAGTGACACAAGGACCACAGCTGGTAAACTGAAGACAAGCTGGGATGTAGATAAACAAACACAAATTATTACATTAATGTCATAAATAATTCTCATTAAAAGCACAAAAGGATACATCTGATAATATATATTTAGGGACTCCATAGGTTCACACGCATCCAAAATAAGATACCAAACCCAGCCTATTACAGAGCATTGCACAACTCTGTGCACAAAGGTACATTTTATCTGTAGGATTCTATTTGTAAATATATTTCCACTTCCACATCTGTTCATTCAGCTTCATTGATTTTTTTTATCTTTTTTCTTTATATTAAGTATTTCCTTAAATCTTATTCTTCCATGGCTCCCATGTTCTGTGGTGTTGCTAACATTCAGTCATAAGCAGAAAATAAGGCTGGCAGGAAAGTGTGCAAGAACTATAATTGGACTATAAAAAAGAAAAATAACTGTTTTTGTTTTTTCCACAGTAGTACAGCTGGCAGTTTAAACCCACAGATTTCTAAACCATGTAGTTTTACCTTGGACAAAAGAGAGAGATGAACTGCAAAATGTGTTTGAGGACATTCCTTTGTGATATAATGCACTGTGCACAGAAGAATTCGTGTTTGCCTTGCAAGCATGGAAATTGTTCTTTTTTTTTCCTGAGGAATGAATTTCAAGGCAATATAATCGTTCTTCTTAAAAAAAATATTATTTGGCACAAATTTCGCTCAAAACCTACTGGGAGCTATGTACCTATAAACAAACTGGAGATACATGAGGATGTACTGGATAATGTATCATCCACCTGGAACTAAATCTGAGAGAGGACAAACAAATCTGTTCATGATTTCAAATCTACAGATAAACAAAATATTTAAGATCTTGTGTGCTTCTGGGAGGGGGATCTTTTCCATATCTGGCTCCTGCACATGTTAGGTTTTACTTACTTGGAAGAGGTATCATTTCCACAGCTGACAGATTGGTAATCTTTGACATCTGTAGTTCCACCCTGTGGTACTCATAAATTGTTCTTCTACGGACATCTACCAGGAAAGAAAAACAAAAGTATTTTCATACTTCACTATTTTGCAGTCTTTGGATTGTGAAATAGTGGATGTAATGATTGCTTAACGTTCCTCAGGTGCATACATGACCCCAGCTTTCCTCAGGAATACAGTTTTAACTTTAGACATCATGAAGGAACACGTAAAAGGTATAGACAGAGAAATTATCATTTGAGAAACTATCAGAGCTGACAGAACAGGTACCTATTCCTATTAAAGGATTATGAAAATGCTGAGTGTGCTCTCAAGCATCCTAGACATTCATTTAGGCAGAAATTCTAGAGTATACTGTCAGATATTTTATGGTATATTTCAGATGCTTGCTTTCCTAAGACATTTCTCAGCTTACAGACTTGAGAGAAATGCTTTATATGCTCACTTGTCAGTTCTCGTCAAGATGCACAAACAAAACTGATTTTATTGCTTAATCAAATTTGTTAGCTACAAGCTAGCTCAGCTCTGAATGCACTAGAACATTTTTTCATATGGTAACATTGCATTAAAGAAGACAAGTCTTCCTAAGCAGCCAATATTATGCATAATCTTTACACAAGCTGACTGTACCTAAGTTTCTCAAAGCAGAAATTCAATATAGTTAGTACACTATTGCTATGGGCTTTAAACTCACAGACAACTACGATCCATGCACAAGATAAGCGTGAAAGAAAATCACAACTGTTACTTTACAGATCAACATCCTGTAATGTATTCTGAATATTCCAGATTTTAAATGCATGGTCACAATGCAGACTGCTCAGCCTGTACCTTTGTAAATTGAAAGTGCAGTTTATACCGTCACTCTGACACACTAATGGTGATGATTTTCTGGTGCACCTGATTCAAATTTATGGCCTTTTTGAAGGTCTGCTAAATTAATTGAAATCAATGCTGAATACAATCACTGACCCTGTGGAATCATTCCAGAGAGGAATAAATGGTTATATACAAAGGATTAACAGGTTATTCTGGTTGACGGCTGGTCTGAGTCTACATGCAACAGAAGATAAGGAATTATAGACAGCCACAGGGTGTCTTCTGTGTTGCCAGCCCTGGAGGGATTAAGGCACACCTTGTTGTTTGGTATAAAGGCTATGTTTCTGTAGCTAGAAGTGGGCTTACTAGGCTCCCCAACTGTTAAGCAATCACATAGCACAAAATCCAAAGTTTTTTGCAATCTCTTGTTAGGAGGGATATTGTAGGCAACTCTCAGACAGAAAATGAAACCTCAACTAAAATAAATCAAGCCATAAATACTAATTCTTAAGGGAAGAGAGAAAGTGCACTGATGTGTCCTGTGGCTAAGGTGCCTCTTGGATGAGGGGAACAAGGCATTCTAAGAGGGATGGCTAACCTCTAAAAGCACAGCTGTGGCAATCCCCCTTACACAAAACAGAAAACAACCATTAACCTATTTTTGTCAGTTGAGGGGATGGGGAGGTAGAAGTAAGGCTGTGCTGGGTGGTGTAGCTCTCTCCTGCAACAGCCAAGGGTGCTGTGGGGGAATCAGCTTCTCTGGTTTCACTGCATAAGCCTTCAGGCACAGGTAGGCAGTGTCTGGCTTTCAAACAATAATGCTTCCATTGAGCTCCAATTCAGCACCTTTGCCAATCAGTTCCTCTTGCCATTTATTTGAAACTCTTTGCTATGGTTCTACCCTTCATGATACCAGATATCTCTTTTCACATAAAGTATACCTTCAATCAAGCTAGTTTTATATTTTACCTACAAAGTCATTCTATTTAAAAGACAGACATGGTGATGTGCCAAAGGTTTACCCCAGTCAATGCCTTAGCCATGTCCTTCAAACCCACTCTCCTTCAAGGCAAAGCTAATCTTCTGCTGGTGTGGGGAAAAACTTTTGCCAGCAGTGAAAGGTTTAGGCTCCCAGAATGGTAAATCTCATAAAAGCACCTGCCAAATCAGAGTGTTCAGAAAATGTGTTTGAAATGAACTCCTGCCAATGCTGAAGGCTGTAATTTGTTTCCACAGAAATCTTTATCCTCTGTCAAAAAACAAACAAACAAACAAACAAAAAAAAAAAACCCAAAAAACCAACCAAACAAAAAAAAAGCAAATGAATACATAAATTAAATGGTGGGTGCTGATACTTCAAGTGAACTCCATTTCATCTCAGCAGTAGTGGTACAGACAGTTAATGCTATAACCCTGTTTACTCTGAACCTTTCCTAACAGAGTACTCACAGAGCTTACAAGAAATAAAGTACTTCGGGCTTTCCAAATGTCCAGTAAGAATCAGTGACTCAGGTCACAGGCACTTTTACCCAGTGCATGAAATCTCTAAAATACAATGACTTTTAGAGAATTAAGCTTGTTATTAAAGAAAATAAAATAAAATTCTAATCTCAAAGATTTCAGCATGACTGTTGACCCCATTAAATCCCTGGTAGACTCAGGTTTGATCTTTTCTTTTTCAGGAAGAAGAATGTGCCAACCACAGGTTGTGAGTTTTATGCACAAGTCTATCTACTGTAAGAAACCTAAGCAGAGGTATTTGCATAGTCACCTTCTAACAGCTTTGTATGTACTTGCAGGCAGGTGGTTGGAAACACAGGTGTTCAAATTTATCTGCCTGGCCAGGCTGTAAAAACATGCAAGTGTAGATTCTGTTGAAAGTCTGATTTGAAACACACCATGCTTAGCTCCTCAAAATGCACTTTTTCCTCCCTATTTAGAATTCTGAGCCTGTATCCACTTAACAAAACAGGCTAGAAAAGTTAAACTCAACAGGATAAACAGAAAAATGAATACTCTCACCTGACATGTTCTGCTTCAACCTCTCCACACACTCCTTCTCCAACCCAAGATATGCACTGCTTTTAACTCAGGTGGAACTTGTTCTTCTTTGTCCTGTGATGTCTTTTTAGCACTCTTACAAAGAAGCTCCGAGTGCAGAATCATAAAGAGCTTATGAGCCCATGTACTTCATAATGCACTTTAACTTGCCAAGAACTAGTGAAATCATTTGACTTAGTAAGAGACAAAAATTTAAACATCATGTGCAGGTATTTTGCTGAAAGGAGGCATTATATCAGGTTTAAGGGAACCAGGGAAGGTTCTTCCAGGGAAAAAAGGAAAGTACTTTTGAATGCATATATTCATTTGAGGTACCATTCCTGGTTCTGAATTTCAGAAAATATGTACATATTCTTCTCCTAGTCATGAAAATATTTTACTTTTTCTGTAGGTCTGAGTATCTCAAACATTTTTTAATCAAATTATATAATTTATAAGTATTTTATTTTCAGTAACATATTCTTTTCATTTATTTTTTTTTTACATAGTCCAACTTGGTAGGTAGGTAGTTTCTGTGTCATGTTCAGGTGTTATCTTTGAATACAGGGCCAAAGGTACAGTACCATTAGAAAATGCTGAAGAAAACACCAGCTACTTAAGTACATTGCCCAATGACCTAGAGAGATAATGTGGTGGGTCAGAAGGCCAACTGAAAGAATCCTTTCAAGAGATTAAGCAGTGGATAGCCAAATAACAGATATGCATGATTCTGGTGTGACAAAATATTTCTATAGAGTTTTACTGTTGTAGTTTTAAACTAAATAATGGCATATAAATATTCTATGAAACAGAACTGTCAGAGTTAAGTGAATATACAATAGGGAGAGTGCTCTGGAGATGCAGCAGTGCCAGAAGAGCGCCAGTGACTTCCTAACAAACCTGAAGAGTCAGTAGCTAGTAATAAGGCATTCTAAGTATGTGCTCAAGAGATGCACAATCTCTCTTGTACTTTTCTACTGTATAATCACTTTTCGTCATATAGCATTCCTCAGCTAAAACCTGCAACCCAGTGAAATTCGAAAATATTGGAGAAGTCTGTCTGATTTTTTAGGCTATATGTTCACACAAATAAAAGTCCTTGCAGTGAAAGATTTCTAGGGAATTGAGATCAGCCATATATACAGCAAAAATTGCTAAACAAAGCCATATGTATTCATACAGATGCACTTTCATTTTTAAGTTTCCTTTTTTAGACAAAACACAAATGTTAAGAGGGTGCATTTGATTATGCAGAAGTCAATTTGATGCAAACAACTTATGAAACATACCCAGTTCAAACTGCAAGCAATTTGTGAAAAACATAAGGGATACAGAAGGGTGGCATACAGCTGATTTACTACACAGCCACTGGCTTTGTTTGATAAGGACTTTGTTTAGCACCACTGCCTGAATAAAACCTTCACGCAAATAAATATTCTCTTAGCCTGGTGTGTCTGATTATCATCACCACAAAAGGTAAAGGAATCAGAATGTCAATCTTTGTAACAGCTTAGTATAAATTTAGCAATATTAACTAATTAATTCTTGAGGCACTGACACTGTGATCAAACATGTTTGTAATCAAACCTCCACCACAATTGTTCTTTGTCATCGACTATTACACATGTATGAATCTAGATCAAAATTAAATTTCCCTAAATGTATTAATTTTATAATTATCTTAAAAGTTGCTAAAAAAATCCTTTAAAACCTGCAAGCTGCACCTCAAAGACATATGTATGAATACGCAAACCAGTGAAGCAAGGCTCTGAAAATAACTATTTTATGAAAAATGTAGAAAAAACTGTACTGTTCCGTGCCAACACTGTGCCTAACACACATCATTTACTTTGAAACTCTCCATGTCCTTTCAGATTTTCCCCAATTCCTGATGCCAGCTGAGCTGCTCTCAGTACCGAATCTAGGTGTGAAAAATAATGCTTTATCGCCTTAGGCCACATGCATCAAACTGCCAAATTCTGAGATTGGCTGATGGCCAGTTTGGCCAAACTGAAAATATTTTAAACTTTGATCACCTTGTGCCAGTCCCTGAAATGCTTTTATGTCGCCAAAGACTAGCAGCATATGCATCTCTTTCCTTCACTGCTCTTGAATCAGACGTTTAGTGCCAAGGAACTGAGCTGCTAGGCTAAAAAACCCTGTTGGGCCAGCAAACATGCAGGGCTGCATGAGCTGGCACCCTGCGGAATTAGTTACACCACTAAAAAGCAAGCATAAATATTGTGAATTTAGAGAGATAACTTTGGGGTCCACTTTGCACAGAGGTAAGTGACATTATCAGTAAGGCAACAGCAAATTAGACTTTGCGATTTCCCAGATAGTGCTGCACCTTTATACAATAAATATCACAACAGAAACTGCCAGTCCTCTTTGAACCTTCAGGATGGTAATGCTAGGGTTCTTTTAGGAGCCTCGTTGTAAACAAACAAATGAAATCTTCAGCAAACAAACAATTGTAACATGCAGAGTTGTCAATTATATGCTTGAGTGACACTATGTATTGAGTGGCACTAATTGCACTGAAAGTGGAATATTGCTAACACACAAATTTCATTTGTGTACACAGGGCTGTTGAGTAATTTCAATGTCATTAAATTTTGGGTTGTCAAGGTATGGATTTCCTAAAAGAGCTGTACCTAATACAGTAGAGGCCAAGATCTTGGAGGACTATACCTCGTCACAGAGAAAAAACTTGGCCATTATCTGTAGATGAAAGACTAGTAACTCACTGTGTAGACCCCCTGAATCTGGTACTCTCTCTTTTTCCCAGTGTATTTCATGCTCTTGTGGAAAATAAACCCCAATCTAGGCAAGCTTACCGGTGTGTTTTATCATTGCTAAAACAAAACAGTGGGCTGCAGAAAATACTTTTTCATTTCACAATGAAAAGCTAATTGAAAGACAAAAGAGAAGAGAGCAGTGAAACAAAAGCGAGAAACGTAGTAAACTTAAAGAAAAGGAAAGATGTAGGGGGAAAAAGCTGGTCATGAAATTGAAGATAGATAGTGGGAATCTGTAGGAGGGAGAGCAAAACACAGTGTAGGTGACTGAAAGAAGGACCAAGAACTGAATGACAAGGTGACTGAGAAAAAACAAGAAATAAGAGTAACACGGAAAAAAAATGTGACTGTAATGGGAAAGGGATGACGTTCCTGATGCAGTGGAGATACTGAAAAAAAAGGAGAGGAGACTTGCTGGAGGAATGTGTAAAGCTATCCTCCATCTTTTTCACTAATCGTGTGTTCTCAGACTGGAAGACAGCCATTAAACATCAGCATCTTTGTTATGAAAGAAAAAATAGTTAATGTACAAGTGTTTGGCCTGTCTGTAGAGCAAGAAATCAGGGTGCTCCCTCTAACTTATCAGACAAAGCAGAGGCAGAGGTCCAGAACCTGGCTCACTTCACCTGAATTACCTGGAAGAAGCAGAAACTTTTCCTCTAAATTAATAAATGGACTTAGTTTACCATTTTGCTGCCATATAAACCCCAGAATTTAGTTTTTTTTTCTTGCTAACCTTTGTGCCAAGGAAAAATACTTTCCTTCAAACATTACTATTCATTCCAAAGCACTTCTAGAGAATATACAGGCATACATATTTTTATATATATATATATATATATATAAAATTAGTGGCCAATCTGAATCAATATATAACCACATATAGGCTTGAAAATGGAGACATATAGAAGCAATAGTAGCAGATGATGAAAAAAGAAAACAACTTAGAAAACAGTCAGAAAGCCACCTGTCAAAATTTTCCATCTCTGTGCTCTAACTCTCAAAAGATAAGGTGAAAAATGCAGGTACGTGTATTCTTTTAGGGACAGATAAAAGCAGTATTACTGCAAAGCCTCTATATGTAAGAGTATATTAACAAAAAAAGATATGAAATGCTCAAGTTTTTCCATTTCAAAAAGTTCAGAAAATCCTTTACTTTTGCTCTTGGCTCTTCAAGACTATGCTTTTAAGCCTTCATTAAAATGCATTTTGGAAATGTAATGGCTGATCAAAAAGTATGTTTTTCTCTCCTCGGAATGAAATAGTTTTGCCTAGCCTTAGAACTCACCTTTCAGAAGTACTAAAAAAAGTCACTATTAATGTTTTGGATAGTATGTATGAAAAAAAATCAGATAAATATTTCTAAATCTTCCAAAATTACTTCAGTATTATTATACTGAAATTTTAGAATGCTTAGCATACAGAGTGCACCAAAGAAATGAGCAATTTTGAAAATTCAGAGGATATTTTTGTTTAAGTAAGCTTGTGTTGCACTTAATTACTCCTTCCTTTTCAAATGCAAGACGGACATAAAAACAACTGAAAAACTCAAATGTGAAGCAGTAGAGTTGGGGTTCATTTTTGTTCTATTTGGGTTTATGGGTTTATATATATATTTGTGTATATATATATATATAAGTAGCCATAAGCATAAAGGGAAACTGAGTTCTTTTGATGGAGAAGTCTTTCCTAAAGTGGTAAGGAAGAACTAATGGGTATATTAATTTTACTTCTCTTGGAGCAAACAGCAATTTATATTGTTCCATTGTCTTAAGGAGCTAAAAATAAAGTAAAACAACAATTCCATCATGTCACTTTTTAGTAATTGACTAAAGCCACGGTTTATTTAATGCCTCTAAAAACCAAGAATGTAACAGCATGCATATTTTAAGAGCATCTGACTTCAACTCTCTACAGGCCAACATTATTTACTGGTTCTGTCAGAGTGTTATGTTGCCTGTACTTACTAATATAAACCTGTGTTATTGAAACCACTATTTAGCTTCAGGAAAATCTACTGTGAACTGATGGTTCCCTTGATTAATATTATCTCTAGTGTAAGCTGCAAACTAACAAAAATAATCATAAATTACTATTATACACAGAACCAGCGGTTAAAGAGAAAAAAGCTGTGCACACAGTAATACAGAAATAATGCTATCAAAACAGTTGTTGCAGTCGTACATTTTAGACTTTTTACACTCATTCTGTTCTTCTTATCTGCCACTCCTTAATGTAATTTAAGAAACAGACTAAATTTAACATGAAACAATAGACAGATTTTCTGATAATTGCAGTCACTTCACTTAGCAGAAATTGTCATGTGACAAGGTTTAGCTCTTGTTTTTAAGCCTTGAAAAGATTTACAGAAAAGTAAAACCAGAAGACTACTAAGTAACTGCATATTCATCAAAACCAACATGTAGTGGTAGTAAAACAAGGTGCAGCTCTGAAAAACTGCTACAGAAAAAATAATTTAAACTAAAAAAAGACTCATATATACTGCATGTTTTACATATAAGTAAATTTAAAATACACCCTTTAGTGTCTGATGATGAAGGCCTGATGCCAAAAGCTCTGCATATTAATTGCATCTCTAACAGAATTTCTGTGTGACTATTCTCATACAACATTTGCACAAATTCATCAACATAATTTCCACCTGTATTCATTTTAGGAGCATTTACAAGCTGAAGACTCACAGAGATACTCAGATAACTCATGTACAAACATCACTTAAATTGCTTAAATTAGTTTCCTACATTCATTCCTACATTGTTCCTAAACACTCAAAAGCAATCAATGCAGCCATCGGCACATTCCAGCTATCTATCATCTTTAGAAAGAATTTATCTTCCAGCACCTAATCTCTTAAGTGAAATCTGAGCATGCCAACCTCCTTCACACTACTCTGAGTTCACAGCAAGCAAGAGATGGTACTGAAATTTTCCATCTTCGCAATAACAGGACATATAAGATGTAGGATCTATGCTCCCTCAAATTGCTAAAATGTGATGAGCGGATTTTATGAGCTGAGGGGCAACGGTACGTGCAACTTCAGAACTTCAGTGTCAGCCCCATCTGCAGACTGCCTCCAAGATGGGCTGGATCAGGTCAGTCCTTATGAGCTTTATTTGAGCCACACATCTGTCAGGGTTCACTTTAGAAGAATACGCTTGGACTCAGTCCTTGCAGGCTGGTTCAAGCACAGCTTCTTCCATTTACACCCTGCTATTAGGGGATCATCAAAAATTGAACTTAATAAATTTGCTCCAAATGTGTAAGTAAAACCAGTGGACTTGGAAAGTGAGCAGAATCTCTCATGGCTAAACAGCCTCTGCACATATTATACTAAAACAAAGCCTTAAGGAAGTCACACTTGATTTCCTACCATTCGTTTTCAGTCAAGCCATGCAAAGTATAATTAAAGACCGAGAAAACTGGATGTCACATGTATTACTGTTGTCATGACTATGTAAGCCCAAGATGTTGTTTAATAACTACGTCTTTTTTCTCACTAAAATGATATATGAATTTGAAGTTCAGAATTTAAAGTATCAAGAACTTCCAGCCTGGGTATTTTTCTGTTTTTGGATACAGATGACTTTTTCTAAACAGGTTTCTTCTTCCCTACTATGGATATGGAGACATATTCCAGATAAAGTATCTATGGAATACCAAACTGTGCTGGTTGACAGTTTAATTTTACATTATTTGGCTGGCCATTTAGATTTATTTACTTAATTTATCAGCTCAAAAGAAACAATGATGGAGCCACACTGGGAATTATCAAACAAATAAAATTACACTTGAATTAACAAGCTGAAATTAGCTAAGTGATTTGTTGTGAGGCTAATTATCCCTGATGAAATCAGCTTATACTCATTTCTCAGCCTTTGAACCATTAGCACAACTGCAACTCTACATACTGGGAATTTGCTGAATCCTGTGCACGACCACAAATGCATCTGAGAGTCCCACTTTCACTGGGTGGTTGGTTGAACTTATCTGTGTCACAGCAACAGGAATCTGAAAGACAAAACAGGAAGATATGAATGAAATATAGAAGAATAATATCGCTGCCAGAATGAACATTTAACCAGTGTAAATTAACATCCTAAACAAATACTTTATGCAATACATCATAATATGACTAAGGATTTATTGAAGACTGAAATTATTGGTTTTAATTTTTATTTTACCCCAGTTTCCTTTGCTTGTTATATAACAATATTTACAGCAACACTCAGAGGTGGAACAATAGTTAATGACAAAACAGAAAAGGATAGTAATTTTCAGTAATTTATTTCCCTAGTAGAAGGAAAACTGGAAAGATGTCCTACCATCAGACAAGGAGGAGGAGGCAATACCTCGTCTACTACTGAACACACAAACTGTGAAAATTCAGCTTGTGATAACCATTTTAAAAGCTTATGGCTCAGTCACCTTGCACTGAAAACTGAACAGCTACCTGAAGAGAGCTTTGGTCCAATGATATGCATATTTAATATGTCTTGGAATAGCAAAGAAATCATTGTCATGGAAAATATGGAAAATGCCAGATGCTCACTTGCCAATATCTAGAGAAAGAAATAAAAATACTTAGATAGCCATAGACCAGTTCAGCTTCATGTAACAGAGATTGATGCTGGGCAACGTGATATATGAAAACAAATGTCACGTTTGATTCAATTCTTTGGGCAAGGTTGCAGTTTTGGCCAATATTGGTATAAATGTAATAGCTTTAGAATTTTATAAAGTGTTTGACTTAGTGACATCTGGCATTTATAAAATATTAATATAGTTAACTAGACTGATCACAAACAGCAGCCATCACTAATGAAGCAGCTCAGGCTGACAGTGTGTCTTTACAGTATATCTTGCTCCTCCAGACACCAGACGTAGTAATCAAAAGTTTTCTCAAAGACAGGGAAGGAAACATAAATTTACTGCCTAGCAGTTCTACGGAGGACACTGGCAGAGCAAAAATAACTAATTGCCTGCACCGTTCAGCAAAGTTACACCTCAAAAAATTGTGAAGTAGTAACTCAGAGAGAAAAACGGACCACAAGGTAGAGGTGTGGGGACCATGTTCTAGAAAGCAGTAGCTCTGGAAGGAATCTCAGTATTGCAGTGGATGAACAACTCCAGCTGTCTGAAGGGGCATCACAGCAAAAAACCTCAGTTGCTGTGAAATTTGGTTACAATAACAGTGAAATACAGCTTAGGAGTGGGGTGCCTGTTTCACCTGTACTTGCACATTAGGTCATTACTGAAATGTTAGTGTTTCTTAAAACAATGCTGGAAATTTAAGGAAGCACGATTGAAACAGTCATAAAAATATTTTGAAAACTTTTGCAGTTCTCAATGCCATCAACAGAAGAGCTAAAGAGCTCTACTGGGCTTCTTGAAGGGAAAATGGGAAGCTGACTAGATTACTGTAAACAAGTACTGCCATGGGGAGACATTACTCAGGAGCTAAAGAGTGTTTTCATCTAGCACAGAAAGATACAACCAGAAGCTGGAAGCTGCAGACAAGTACTTTCAAGGCAGAGTAAGACACGTTTCTGTGATTGAGTGCTATTAACCACTGGGATAAACCACCAAAGGAAACTATGATTCTCTACCCATTTCTGCTTTCACAGTTGGATATCTTAGTTTTCAAAGTTGACTTTTATTAATTACTAGGATAAAGAGGGATGACAATGGATCAGTTGTAAGAAACAAAGATACAAGGTGCTAGCTCAGCTAATCTAATAATCTTTAGGCTTCACCTGTGCAAAACTACCAAAATTATACTGTTGGCCAGTACTTTTCACACAGCAGAAAAATGCCAAGGTAAAAAGCTGGCTACACATCCAGTGGATGAGGACTCAGTACTGCATACATATCAACTAACGGCATAACTTCTGATTGAGTTGAGCATCAGTACTTGTTCTCTTTGCTCTCAAAATATCATTTAGCTGTGTTTTTTCCCCAATTACACTGGTAGCTGTCTAGGAAAATTCAAATTTGAGAATATTAGCAGAAAAAGTGAGTTCTGGTGAATTAAATGGTGTCATGAATTCACATATATTTACTTTAGTGACTGGTTTGGCTGATCCATTTAGGGGTTCTTGCATATATGATCTGATTTGGTACTAAAAATGGAATGATGTTAGACCAACATGAAAAACAGAAGTGGCTTGGAAATACTTCTAGCAATACATGAATTTAAATTTGGCTTATATCAGCTGAGCTCTGATACAGTTATTGGAGAATATGACATAAGAAGGCTGAAAGCTATATTTTCAAAGTCTTCAAAATAAAACACTTGCTGAGTTCAGAAATAAGCCTATAAACTTTCTCCCGCATGAAAGTATATATATATATATATATATATATCTATATATAAAAGCGAATTATTCACCATCTCAGAATACTGTAGAGAAAAGCTTATATTAACTGCCAAAGAAATTGTCTTAAAGATTTTGAGGAGGATACTCCAGGGAAACTATTGAAAATCAAGTTAGAAAAAACACTGATGAGAAGGATGCAATAACTATTTCTCTTCCAAGTTAGAGGGGAAACACATCAGATGAAGAAAGGAATCAGAGTTTTATGGGCACAAAATGCAGGCATTATGAGTAGGTGTGTTAACTAACAAAATATGCTGGCAAAATTGGCAGCTCAAGGCCCAAATTGTGCCTGATATATGAAAATAATCATACTCCTTTTATGTGTAAGTGCAAACCAGAAGAAGCTGGAAGCAGGTCTCCTTGAATATGCCACCTTCAATTTAAGTCTAGTGTCATATCATGTTTTTTCTGAATTTGTGAAAAACTGAACAATTTGCGTCTTTACCTCACAAATTCTGATAGCAGAAAGCTAATTTTTCTCTCTCTCTCTTTTATTTATTTATTTTTTTTCCCCAGGAAGAAACAATGGGTTCTTGCACTACAAATGCTACAAATGTTTGCTTGGTTTTTGTTTTGTTTTGTGGTTTTTTTTGTTTCTGTTTTGTTTAGGTTTTTTTGGTTTATTTGTTTAAATATAAGTTTATATTCACTACAACTTGGTTCAGAGCTTGAAAGTCACTTTCAGTTTCACTCTTTTTATTATAAAACTATGAATGACTCAGTGGTGCTAAATTAGGATGCAGTAGCCAAGTAGAACAGAAAATTCAAACAAAAACTTCAGGAGTGCCTGCAGGTGTCTGTGCTCTTGTGCTGAGCATTCTCGAAAGAATTTGTGGAATCATTTTCTAAAACAAAAAGGAAAGATGTAGTAGAGTCCAGTTCAACAGAAGAAACAGCCAAACTTTGGCTGTGTGCTGCAAACAGGGTGTAAGGTGAAGGAAATATAAATTATTACAGCCAGCTCTTCAGCTGAGGTGCAGTCTGTGTCAAAAAATTACTCAGAGAGAAATACAGTCAAAGTAGATGCGAATTCCTGACCCAGGAAAACTCCTTCATATTCTTGAAAAACTACAGTGTCATTAAACCTGTATTTACAAAAGCATATGTTTGAATTTAAAGTGTGGAAAATGGAATAATTTTACAGAACTGAATACTTCACTCAGTGATGAGTGTACTGAGTGCCATTTTATAGGTGAAATTCTTTGAATGAGATGTCAAGATAAAATGGGCTTTTACCATATGAAGGCCTATTAGGAAATATGCCCTTTTGACAGAAGGCTTGTAAATGATAAAAAACTTTATCAAAAATTACAGTGAAACATGGGTAGCAAGCAGACAGCTGGTGTTCTGAATCACTCACCTGAATGTCAAGATGTGTCATAACAGGCTGACATGTTAAATAGTTAAACAGTATAGCTACGAATGTGGAAGTGGTTGCTAATGGGTGACAGGGTTTACATGGCATTACATTGAGAGGATGGATTTTAACTAGAATCATTCCAAAGTCTGTGTTAGCTCTAACACAGACAACATGAACTCTTGTGTTTTACAAGTCACCAGCTTATGAATAAACTTCCCAAATGCAAACTTGTAATGGGGCTATGGACATTCATATTTTGGATTACGTATTTCAACAATAGGAAGAAACATATTTAGAACTCATGTTGAATGCTATTCACAGAATCATAGAATAGTTAGGGTTGGAAAGGAACTTAAGATCATCTCGTTCCAACACCCCTGCCATGAACAGGGACACCTCACACTAAACAATCTCACCCAAGGCTCTGTCCAACCTGGTCTTGAACACCGCCAGGGATGGAGCATTCACAACCTCCCTGGGCAACCCATTCCAGTGCCTCACCACCCTCACAGTAAAGCACTTCCCCTTTATATCCAAACTTCCCCTATTTAAGTTTTATTTTGTTACCCCTTGTCCTATCACTACAGTCCCTAATGAAGAGTCCCTCCCAAATATCCTTACAGGCCCCTTTCAGATACTGGAAGGCTGCTATGAAGTCTCCAAGCAGCCTTCTCTTCTCCAGGCTGAACAGCCCCAACTTTCTCAGCCTGTCTTCATATGGAAGGTGCTCCAGTCCCCTGATCATTCTCATGGGCCTCCTCTGGACTTGTTCCAACAGATCCATGTCCTTTTTATGTTGAGGACACCAAAACTGTACACAATACTCCAAGTGAGGTCTCACAAGAGCAGAGTAGAGGGGAAGGATCACCTCCTTCGACATGCTGCTGGTCACGCTCCTTTAGATGCAGCCCAGGATACGGTTGGCTTTCTGGGCTGTGAGCACACACTGAAGCCGGCTCATGTTCATTTTCTCATCAGCCAACAGCCCCAAGTCCTTCTCCCCAAGACTGCTCTAAATCTCTTCTCTCCCCAACCTGTAGCTGTTCCTGGGATTGCCCTGACCCAGGTGTAGGACCTTGCACTTGGCATGGTTAAACTTCATGAGGTTGGCACAAGGGTGTCGAGGTCCCTCTGGATGGCATTCCTTCCCTTCAGCTTATCAACGGAACCACACAGCTTGGTGTCATCTGCAAACTTGCTGAGGGCGCACTCAATCCCACAGTTAATGTCACCAGCAAAGATGTTGAACAACACAGGTCCCAACACAGATCCCTGAGGGACACCATTCATTACTGGTGTCCAGCTGGTCATTGAGCCATTGACCACAGGTCTTTGCATGTGGCCATCCAGCCAGTTCTTTATCCACCAAGTGGTCCATTCATCAAATTGATGTCTCTCCAATTTAGAGACAAGGATGTTGTGTGGTCAGTGCCAAATGCTTTGCACAAGTCCAGGTAGTTGACATCAACTGCTCTACCCCTGTCCATCAGTTCCATAGGCCCATCATAGAAGGCCACTGAATTGGTCAGGCAGGATTTTCCCCTTAGTGAAGCCATTGCTGGCTGTCACCAAGCACCTTGATGTCTTTCTTGTGCCTTAGCATGCCTTCCAGGAGAACCTTCTACAAGATTTTGGCAGGCACAGAGGTGAGACTGACTGGTCTGTAATTCCCTGGGTCATCCGTTTTCCCCTTCTTGAAAATGGGGGTTATATTTCCCTTTTTCCAGTCGTCAGGAACCTCAGCTGACTTCCGTGGTTTTCCAAATATGATGGACATCATTTGGATCAGTAATCAAGACAGTATTTCCCACAAGAGTTCCCAAATTTTATTCTTTTTAACTTTCAGGACATGTAATAATCTTACTTTTCAAAAACAATAAAATAATGGCCTCTGACCCTATTCTGAATGAGATGGGAAGCAGGGTGCAATTACTGCCCTATGTCAAAACTGAGTCAAAGAGTCAGAGTATGCTGCAAAATAATAATGAGGAGCACAATAGCAGTTATTAGGCTTTTCATTTCCAGTTTCCTAAATAGTCATTAAATACTTTATGGGCCAAAATGCCAGAAACTTAATCAGAAATTTTAAGCTAAAGAAACTGATCACCTGATAACATCAAAGATCCTGTTTCCATGCTAATTATATTTTTTATAATAATAACAAAGGCAAAGAAATGGCATGCATGCATAATGCAGGCAGAATAACCATGAAGATCGTGCTTTTGGGTTTGTTTTTTGTTTGTTTCTTTTTGTGGTTTTCAGGACACAATCAAAAGGTTTGGAGTCTTGTTATTGAAAAAAAAATATTTTCCATTATGCATAGCAGGACCATCAATTTTATTTAAGTGCTGGCACTTAATCAGTTCCATTCAATTCTGCCTCCTTTCGCAGTAGAAAGAAATTCTACCGCAAGTCTCTCAGAATTATTTTCCAGCTTCACATATTGGGCAATTTGAAGAAGCATTTCAACTTTAATAATAGTTCCTGGATGGCTACATAACTAGAGATTCATTACTATTTAAATGAACAAAGAAAGCCTTCAAGCCAATGAAATTAAGAAAAATACCCTAAACCATTAACATAGCCTTTGGTACCTTTGCCTTGTATTAATCATTAATTTGTCCTGTATTAATCATGGACAGAAATAGAAACCAAATGTTACACTAAGGAACATTAGCTATAAGCACTAATGAGAAAAGACTATATGGAAAAGTTATTTTGTTCAATAAGAAGTAAAGCTCTTGAGAATTGAGCTTCTGTGAAATTTAGAATTTAAGAACTTAGTATTCCCTAATTATACATAAAAAAAAGTATGAATTTGCAGAAAATTTTCTTTATTACAATGTTCTGCTGGCTAGTTTGCACTGTAATGTATTTCATACGTAGTAGAGGTGCACCAGTAAAATTTTCCTGCCATCTGATGTCTTCTGACATACTCAGCGTTTGCCAGAACAGTAACAGCTGATGTCAGCAAAGTGACAGTTAAAATGGAAGGTGTATGTACTGTAAACAAAGTAAATTAGTATATAAATAAATTATTGTCTTACTATAGGACCTTGTATTTCAAATTGGTTTTACATTTTAAAAACTTGACTGTACAGATCCTTCTCCTACTCATTAACTCTTCTGAAAGATATTCTGGTGTCTCCGCATTTTCACTATCCTAGTGGCTCATCTTCTTTTCTAAATGTTTAATTTTTGAGAATCTATTCTGGATTTTGGATAAGAATTGTGCATTTCAGACTGCTTCCTACTGGATAAACAACAGAAAGCAGAAGATTGGGCAGAACAGCTCCTTTGACACACAGCAAACCTCAGCCAAAATCCTGCAACAGTGGTCAACACCAGGTTTATGAGGTAGCAAACCTGATGTGGGAGCAGAAAGGATACAAAAAAGGGAATTCAAATGATTTGAATAAATAAGAAATAAAGGCAAAATTTACCTGAAGTGTTTAAGACATTAAAGTCCCTATTTGTACCTCCCTTAAATGTATAATCACAGTTATTTTTAATCTAGATTTTTCAAGACAAAAGCCTTGTGTCACCAGTACAGAGTCCCTGTGGGATGCTTTATAAAGTTACTGCCAACCTGTCTGCTGTATTTCTGTTTCAGCTTGGAGAATTTTAGTGCCAGTGCAATGAAGACCTCCTAGCAGATTTCCCATACACACATCACTGTCATTTTTGATGAACTGTGATGCTAAAATGAAATGACACCATAAAAGTGGAGGGAATCTTCTCAAGCAACTTTTACTCATGCAAGTGAGCATTCACACAAGTAATCTTACTGGCGTTAACAGGGCTCCTGACTCACTAGCAAAGGAAATGATCCCATAAGGAAAGACTCCCTCTGAAAGCAATTGATTCAGTACTGGAAAGTAAATAAATTTCTAGCTACACTTACAAGCACTAGAGTCAAGTTTAATTTTACAAGTGCCTTAGTTATTCTTTTCAGACAACTTCTGTCTGAGCAGTGACTGGAAATTTTATTCAATGTTCCTCATTTAGGTGAAAACCTGAGTTGGTTTTAATGAAGTGAAAGCTGTAAATAAGGTGTGCAGTCTTCTGGAAATCTCAGTCTCCAAATCCAAGTAACCCCCAGTGGAATACACTAGCTGCAATATTCTATGATTTTACAAAAATCTTTTGTCAAAAAATACACAGTTCACCAGTATGTTACTATTACCACTTTTAAAAGTTTCTTTCCTTGATTATGTGCAATAGTTCTAAAGTGATGTGTGGTAATGCCATTCATGGCAAGAATAACTCATGACAGGGGATTTCAACGATTCAGCAGTGGAAAATGTGCAAATTATCTCATTTGTAAATTCCAATTCTTTCTGCCTCAGGATTAAAGAAATGACATTAATAACTCCTTTCCACAAAAGAACTGTGGATTTTGGAGAAAGCTTTCAATAGCGGAGTGAGAGCAAGCAGCCTACACCACTGTAGCACAGAAATTGTTTATCCACAGGTTAAATGACATACATGCATGCAATTCCCGTTTCCTCCAAGTCTATTTCCTTGTGTCTTCCTAAATGAATAAAGTTTTGCACTGTCTGGCACTCTGCATCATCATTTACGTCTAATGAACTCAAAATGCTACCAATTTACAGCAACAGCTTCTATCACCCATATTAGATTCGTTTTGCAGAGCTGGACAGTAACAGTGCAGAGCATCTCGTAAGCAAGAATATTAGTTTCCTAAAAATGTCACAATTTTAATTTCAGAATGCATATGTAGTTCTTGTCAAATTTATCTTAAAATTACAAATTGAAGCATTGCCCCTCCCCACTTCTCTGGATCTTGAAGGCAGGAAATTTTCTGCAGTCTTTAAAAAGATTTTTTTTTTTTTTCTTTAAAAAGGTCTGGAGTCAAAATGCAAATAAACTGCATTTTTATAGATGAAGACTACTAACCTGTACATAACATTCAGAAACAGAGCCTAAGCAGACCTTTCATCAGCCTGCCTTTTATAAGATAAAGAAAAGCCAGGTACATGGGCATACCAGAAGCCTATTTTTTTCTACAAAACTAATCCACCAAGAGTATCCTGCAGCAATCCTGTTTGCAGTGTGCAAAGACGTCCGTCTTTGGTGAAGAGCTGAGTGCTGGAAGAATAACCTAGATTCTCACTAGCTTTCTAATGAAGGGGAGAATAGTACTATCATTTCTGCTTCATTCAGGGGCAAGGCTTCAACACAGAGATGAAAAATGAGCTTCAAGGCTCACAACTAGTACATAGTATATAGACAGAAAAGAGCCCAGAATTCTCCAATTATGGACAATCAGGTCGTAATCACTGATTACATTTTTAATGCAAGGAGGGCAACAGAGAGACATCTTGAAAAGAAAGTCACCCTTTGCATGCCAAACTACAATTAAAATAAACAAAAAAAGAAAGAAATTTTTCATTTTGAGAATGCAGAAAAGCCCTACTGAGACAACAGCATACTGATGACATGAAGGCAAGTGGCCTCAATCTAACCAGTGTTACCACCAAACAGGTAAAAAACCTCACAGAGCTAGAGACACAACCCAGTCATTTCTTATTTGAAGTATACAAACTTCTGAAATATGTCAGTTGCCACGAAGTGACAGCTGCAGGAAAAAGGTGACCTTTTAATACTAACCATTGATTCTAGAGTATTTTCAAGCAGGCACAAATTAGGTGAACTAAGAGCAAATTAAACCCTACCTTTCCAAACCCAAAAGAAATTTACCAAGCAATCAAGAGTTTACTAAATACTTAACACTAAAAACCACCCCAAAAGGCCAGTTGAAATCCAGGAGTAGCACATTTAACCCACATCGACGCTTCTCAAATTCACCACATGAACGTCACTTTTACAATAAAACGTAATTTTCAGGAAAATAGTGATCCTATAAGCAATATAATGAAATGACCTTATACAGTTGAATTTTCAAATATTGCCTCCCTCCCCCCCCACCCCGATGGAAGGAGATTCCTGGCAGGTATAAAGTAATTTGTCTACTTAAATGACAACTTTCAGAACCAACTTACTTCTTTGTAGCCGAAAATGATACGCCCATCATTGAGAAGGGTGGCCTGAAAAGTGAAACTGCCCAGGTTGTAATTATCCTGCAGATGTACATGATCCCACTGGACAACTAATGCTGTGCCTGTGAACCCCAGAGTGGGGGTAGAGAAGCAAAGAGAAGAAAAAAAAAAAAAGTAAGAAAAATATTAACTGCATGTAGGAAGAGTACTTAACTGCAGTTACCCGAAAGAAGAACAGTGATTTATTTCTTTTTAGCAACTTTCAGCCCTACATCTTGAAATGCCAAAGATACTACAAATATAAGCTGTAGCTGAATTCCTCTTAAAGGTAGATACCACACTGCCAAAAATAACTACCTCCACTACTTGCGCTAAAGTCTGTTAAAGCAAGACTGGGCAAATAAATAACTTGTTTGGAATTGCACAAGGAGCCAACAATCACTGAAGGCAGGACCCAGCACTGTGAGTTCAGGTGTGCTGCCACTACTAGTCCTCTGCAGTGGCTTTTTTTTACATTATATCTATATATATATACTCTGATGAATTTGAAATGTGAAGTGCTTAATAGCATCTCCTGTTTAGTAAAAGTTGTTTGAGGAATTCAGATTCTCCCATTAACTATGCATTAATATTTTTCTACATGGTGCAAGTCTTTAGCAAGGTTCTGCAAGTTGAAAAGTATTAGGTGCTGGCAATAAATAAATATAGTTTAAATTAAAGCTACTAAGAATTCATAGATGGGGTAAATATTGAGTCTGGTGTGCAGAGATTTAGTTGCAAGAGACTCATTAATATTCATGGGAGTTCTCTGGCTGAATATCCACTTATCGCACTAAAAATGTACCCCAAGCAACTTGCATGCCCTGTGAGCTTGTTTTACAGATGTTGAGGGTTATATTCAAGCATCTTGGATGAAAGACACTTATCACCAAAACTGTGTTTACTGAAAATTACTTTTTCATCTTTCTACGCCTTCCTCAACATATTTTTCTCCTTGGCACTAATGGGCATTATGTGCTTTGATTCACAACAGTTTAATTTATTTTCTTCCTGGAGTGTTCAAGGTGGATCAGTAAGCACCCAGCTCAATGCAGTTTTGGTATATCCTTGAAACATCTTTTGCCACAGGTCTTCTGTGCTGTAACCTTAATAAACACATCTTGGTAGAGGATGTCATGAAACTATGAGAATGCAGATTTTTTGATGCACTGCACTAAGTCCATGACATTTTTGTCTCATGTATCTTTCATAAGTATAGTATATGCTCATTAATTGTGCACCTAGTGAATTTTTGTTTCTGTAGCACCATTCATTAACTGCTTTTTGAGTATTTGAGTGCATTAAATTTTATTTTAAAGGAATTTAAAGGGACTTTGAAAACTATTGAAGCAAAACCAGCCAGAATGTCTTATAGTCAGTCCTAGAGCTCCTCAGATCTATGTGCACCTCAGAATCCCAATCTAAAGTGGAAGCCAGCTATCTCCAAAACAGTCTTCTCATTCTGAGGACCTTTATGTAGATCCATGTGTACATCAGTTCCTTGTAGTTAGCTCCATGCCTGCGACTTTGATGGACATCACACACTATGCTTGCCCACTGCAGATGCTGCACTAAAACAGCACACTTACCCACAGGGATAAAACACAGATGAATGAGAAATAAGGAGCTCAAGATACAATTTACTCAGTTCCTTTTTATTTGGGGTAAGATAGCAAATTCTTTGTCCTAAAAGCACATGGGGTCCAAAAGATCACCATGCCTTACACATGAAGAGGGATTCAAAATCTCAGAAGCATTCAACCTGGTCATAAAAGCCATGTAATACAGTGTGAAGAACTGTGTGAAGACTGGAAGTCAGGAACACAATCCTCAGAATCCTCAGATACTTTCAGTAAAGATGACAAATCACAGGCCATAATGTCAAATAATTTATGAAAGAAGTATTTTTTCTGTTTGAAATTTCTCCATGCAAGTAGTAAGACTTTTGCATGTGTGTTTATTTTGTTGGATTTTTAACAAATAAATGCTGCAAGTAATAACTAGATTGAAATGAAAGGTTATGACTAGGTGCAAACTTTAAAAGGTACAATTTGAGCCCCAAAGCTCCAAAATTTTAAATAGGCTGTCACTTTCATTGTATTTGACAAGTAGAGGCCCAATGTAAGGCACCAGATGCCTTTTTGACACATAGGTTATGTTTTCAAAATATTGATTATAACTAACTTCATGAGACAATATCCATGCATTCAATGCCTTTGAAATATCTCACAGATTTTCAAGTATAACACTGTAGTCTACCTTTCAATCTTTTGCACAAGGGACTGTTGGGAACTTGTGGTGTAGATGAGTGTATTGGATTCCAGTACTGGTACTCCATGCACACTTAGTCATTGACTTGCCTTGCTTCAGTGTACTTTTGCTATCGCATTCCGCAACTGCTCTTTTCATTTTAGTTAGTGGGAGGACGGTATTTACTATCTTTTACAGAAACTTGCACTTGTACACAAGACAAATTTTTCTTTTTATAACTGATAAAATACATTGCTAATTTGAGTTTATGTACTTTAACATCCAGAATATATCTGTCCAATTAGAAAAATGCATTCATGACTCTTTAACTGTGTTCTAAATTACAAAGAGTTCATGGGTATCTAGCCACATGATTTATAAAGCCTGTGAGTTAAAAAAAAAAAAAAAAAAAGAAAAAAAAAGGATAAAAATAACCCTTCAGTTTTTTCTTCAAAAATAGTTATTTAGAGCCAACAGACACATTCATTTATGAAGGACTACTACATACCATTATCAAAGTATCTGACTGTTGAATTTCTTGACACACTGGGGTCAAAATTTGCCATTAAGGGTGCAATGTATTGTGTAGCTGTTAGCATTCGATGCACAACTTCTCCAGTATATATGAAACCTACAATAATAAAAAAAAAAGAACATTTCAGTAACTTCTGAAAAGATTTAATAGAATGGCAGGTTGAACTACACATTGCCAGAGCATTAAAGGGTCAGCTAAGAGAAATCCCACTGCCAATTTTATAGTGAAATAAGTAAGAGGTAAAATTCCAGGAAAATGTGATAGCTGCCAGAAAAAACAAGATCAAAGATTAAAAAAAAAAAAAAAAAAAGAAAAAGGAATAATTAGTCCAAGAAGTGAATTTTCATAGAGACATAAAACCAGAGCACACTCAAGGAAGAATAACTCCAGTTATGGACAAAATGCACATATGTGGGCCTATCAAAATTTACCACCATGCACATTCCAGAGTGTTTTCTATCCTTTCAAAAAATCTGCAATCTGTTTTGCTATTGCAAGTTGTTACTTCTTCAAAAGTTGGTCTAATCCTTCTTCATATGTCTAAAGACAGAGTAAGAGACTATGTCAGATAAAAAGAGGCAACAATCTTAAAAAAAAAAAAAGAGTCAGATGAAGAGTGGAACAGATAGGATTTTTCATGGTTATAAGCCAAGCAGCATTTCTGCTACACTCTCTTCAGTGTCAGGTCTCAGTAGTTTATCCTATTCATCCCTGAATACGCAGTACCCACATCAATAGTGGGCTGCTTTCATCAGAAGTGCTCACCCAAAACCACTTACTGGTTTGGAACTAGAGTTCTTGTTCAAGGTAGAACAGTAATCTACAGTGAACACATTAACGCTGCAGTTTCTTCAAAGCAAAACTTTGTATTTTAATGGCATTTCAAACAATAAATGGTCTACAAATAAACATGTATTGTTTAGGTTTGTCAACTCCAATTAAATAATAGAACTACTTTAGATGCCCCACACTAAAGCTGCCAACGCCTAGAGAAAGTCTTTTTTTTATTTTAGCCTTTACCTTGCAGGTCAAAACTGAAAAACTTTTAAGTTGATTTGGAGCTGAAAGTAGATTCACAAAACTAAGGTTTGTGTATTACATCTCCTCTTATAGTGTTTACCAGATGATGCCTTATGCTGAAATGCTTGCTTTTTCACCTTCTATTGATTTAATGAAGTATACTTCAACAGTCAACACCCTGATAACAACAAGAATATTAGAGTTGGCTAAAAAATTTGTAAAAGAAGAAATCTATTTGGGATACATCTCACAGAAATTCAAGTCTTTACTGGCAAAGGATAGTATCCGCTGCAACAGTATTTGTGCTGGTTTGCTTTTAATCTTTTTTTTTTTTTTCTGGGAGGGGGTGAGGGAGTGATTTTTTTTAGTTAAATATCTAAACATCACTTTTCTCTTTTGCTATTAACAGGGAGAAACACCAATTAAAAAAAAAATAACCTTCTAACAGATTTACAAGTCATGTATAAACCTGAATTTTTGGAATGTACAACTGCAGTTGTGATTTTACTCTATTACTTATCATTTTAGGATAGCCATCAGTCCTGCCAAAATATATTCCCTGAAAGGCATTTTCATTATTTCCTACTTATTGTTGTCTGCTTCTAAAATGTCCTTCCCTTGAGAAGTATTCCTTCATGCTTATTTAGACAATTTAAATACATACAATTTCATAGAACATTTATTCTGCTTATGGTCATGCGCACACATATTTTAACACAATCTTGGGGAGGTCTATAACCTAGAAACCATTACTCAAAAACAGTTTGCAGACAATATAAACAAAACCTGCGAACCCATGTTCACATATTCAATTAGCCTTAATATTTTAGTACTTATTCCTCCCTTTCACAGTGGTTCTATCCTAACACATAGTTTCCTTTTCATGCTTTCATCCCATTTACAGTATAAATGTCACCATTATAACTAATAATGAGGCAGACACAATAGGAAAAGAAAAGACTTAATTATGCTGGAACACATATCTAAGTAAATCAGCCCAGGTAATTAGTAACCACAGAGCGTATTTCCAAGTGTTAGCCAGATGCAGCTTTACTTTAGACAAAAATGGAAAGCAGGAGGTGGATGATAGCTGGGAAGCAGGCAGGCCTTGCATGAAGATCATTCTAATGAGAACTGCAGTCATGCATTGGAACAACTTGAAAAGAAACACAAAGTCACTTCAAACCACCCCAGAGAATCAAAGTCTGAAGCCACTGTTGAGCATGGACACTTTATCATTGCCACTACAACTTAAAGAAATCAGCAAATGTAAAATTAACTTATTCCTGAATGGAATTCCACAGGAAATTGGCTTATACTATCTGTGACCTAATTCTGTGACAGTGGTAAATACTCACGGCTGATTCATTTAGTCAAAGAACAATTTTTTAGACCTGCAATTTCCTGAACCACTTAATCTCTCCTTTGTGGGAGGGCTTGGTAGAGCTCTTCCAAAACTCTCCACAAGTACTATACCTAGAAGCATAATATGGTCCTAAACACTGGAATGAAGTCAAATAGAAAAGCGTGTTCAGCATTTTGTAAGTTTTATGTGTATATAAACTCAACTAAAACTAAGGATGAACTAATACTAAAGCCACTTGTAAACCAAGGAGGCTATAAGCCTTGATTTGTACACTGTGTACTCACACACTCTAGATAATTTTCTTTTTTTCTAAAACAATTTTTCCTTTTTAGAAGACAAAAGGTATTATACAGTGGGAGTGACCTGACCTGGGCAAGAGCTAGCAATTGCTGAGGATAAGACTGGTACACTGAATGCTCTATTTCAGCTGCAACTTTCCACCTATTATCTACCAGAAAATTCTTCTGAACTACGAAAAGAAGGGAAATATAATTACAGGGTTGGGTTTTTTTTTGAGGTCTGTGTCAGACTGCTTATTGACAGCTATGCAAAGCAGTTTTAAGCATTCTTATTCTTGTAAATGCATTTTTTGATCTCTGATATAACAAAGGAAAGAGTAAGTGGTTCAGGAAATTGTAGGTCTAAAATAATCATTCTTTGACTAAATGAATGAACCATGAGTATTTACCACTGTCACAGAATTAGGTCACAGGTAGTATAAGCCAATTTTCTGTGGAATTCCATTCAGGAATAAGTTAATTTTACATTTGCTGCTTTCTTTAAGTTGTTGTGGCAATGATAAAGTGTTCATGAAAATGATCTAGAGTGTAGGTCCAGTGGAGAGGTCTAGATCCTTCTCTGTCTGACATGGGCAGCTCCTCACCTTCTTCTATAGAGGCAGTCACCCTGCTAAGAAAACATTGCCCTAATACAACTGAAGACTAACCAAGTATTTCGTTTTATGTATTACCTACTTCATATTCTGTTTTATATATCAAGTATTTAACTAGTATGCAACAATGACATTATTTACCTAAATGACTAGAATTTCTATTGTCTTGTGTAAAGATTTTTCTATTTTCTGATAACTGATTTTCTGGTAGAAAATAGGTGGAAAGCTGAAGCTGAAATAGAGCATTCAGTGTACCAGTCTTATCTTCAGCAATTGCTAGCTCTTTCCCAGGTCAGGTCACTCCCACTGTATAATACCTTTTGCCTTCTAAAAAGGAAAAATTGTTTTAGAAAAAAAGAAAATGATCTAGAGAAAAGAATCATCATCACTGAAAAATAATGATTAAAAAAAAAGTTGCTAAGCAACAACAGAAATAAGCTGACGTCAAATTATTCCTTCAAATAGCAATGACACTGCTTTCATAAAAGGCAAGTAAAATTTTGCTCATTCTCTAAAACAACCCTTAAACAATCTGAAACACCTGAAACAATCCTTTCAGCCTCAAAGATCAAAAAATGCATTTACAAAAACAGGAATGCTCAAAACTACTTTGCACAGCTGTCAAGAAGCAGTTTGACACAGACCTCAAAAAAAACCCCTGTAATTATCTTTCCCTTCTTTTCATAGTTCTGAAGAATTCCTGAGCTTGACTGAAGGGCAGGTAAGTTCCACCAAAGCTCCATAAACGGACTCTACGGATTAGGGTAGTTTTGCTACCATGGTACAAGTTGGCTCATGTACCTTTTTGTACAGCAGCATTTATGTTTCAGGTACAGACACCAACATCAATTTTACGACCTACAAAGCCTGATGTATTTTAAAGGTAGCTAACTGTTTCCTTCCCAACATTAGCTGACGTTATCCAAAGCGGGTCAGAGAGCCCCCAGATAAGGCTTTTTTTTCTGCCATAAAATGTGCCTGAAGTTATTGGTTCACAGGGAAGCAAATGACGCAAGAGGTACATTTTTCTTGAGACTGCTTATTTAATTCCAGGACAGAGAAGTGGAAAGACACTTGGAATTTAAGACCAAATAAAAAAGCATGCATTTATAACAAACAAACAAACAAGCAAATGGAATGGTACAAGAACCTGGAGTTCAAAACAAAGAACAAATGTAACCATCACATACAAAATACTAAATGCTGAAAGAAATAAGACTGCTTTGGAAAAAAAAAAAGTGAATTTTCCTAACATGCAGCTAATGTTAAGTAAAACCATATGCGAAAACCCTTAGTAATACAAGCTGTGGTTACTTAGCTAGAAAAGGAACTGCCTGCCAGCAGCAGCTGAACAATGAAAAGTTTTGCATGAGAGAGACTTGGGCAAAGACAGAGCTGCCATCTGAGTGCACAGTTCAGTGTGGGTTTACTCGAGTGTCTTTGTAGTGTATAAACTAGAGTATAATCTAGAGGAGAAATAGCAGAGCAGCTTCCGGAAAATGGAACCAGAGGAAAGTGGTGTCCCTAAAGCTTAAACCCAGATCACCCAAGGGAAAGACATGGTTTTTTAGCTTGTCCATTCACATATGCAACAAGCTGTGTAGAGATGCAATGACATACTTTTCCCCTGCAAAAAATGCCTCGTTCCTTTCATTTCTTCCTGTTCATTCTCTTACTTAAGCAGAGTGAAAAGTACATGACTTCTCCTGCTCATTTTCCTCCAAAACACTCTGAAAACTGTTTGTGCAGCCAAAAGAGAAAACTGCAGTGGAACTAGCAGGAGCTTCCTGGCTCTGTGGCTGCTTCTCTTTTGCTGTG